ATTTCTCTTTGGAGGCTTTTATAATTGTTCCCTATCCTTAGAGCTCTGATATTTTACCAGGATGTATCAGGGTATGAAATTTTTTCATTTATCCTGTCTGGCATTTAGATTATGCTTTCTCTTTGAACTGTGCTGTGTTCAGTTCAGGGAAGTTTTCTTCCATTTCTTGCTTATTTCTTCCCCATCACAATCTCTGTTTTTTCCCATTCTGGAACTCCCATAAGGTAGATATTAGATCTCTTGGATCTATACTCATTTTTGCTCAGGTTTTCTTCCCTATTTCCAATCTCTTTGTGTTTTTCTTTTTGTTGTTCTTGTTCAGTGTTCTTTATGTCTCCAGCCACCTAGCTTAGTTTTCAATCGTGTCTGCTTTATCATTTAGCGCATTCATTGACCTGTGAAATTTTAATAATCATTTAAAAAAAAATTTTTTTTTCAACGTTTATTTATTTTTTTGGGACAGAGAGAGACAGATCATGAACGGGGGAGGGGCAGAGAGAGAGGGAGACCCAGAATCAGAAACAGGCTCCAGGCTCCGAGCCATCAGCCCAGAGCCTGACGCGGGGCTTGAACTCCCGGACCGCGAGATCGTGACCTGGCTGAAATCGGACGCTTAACCGACTGCGCCACCCAGGCGTCCCAATAATCATTTTTTGTTTCCAAGAACTCTTCTTGTTACCTAGTTCCTTCTTTTCCATAGCAGCCCCTTGTTACCTTATGACTCTAATATCCTTCCATATCTCTCTGAAGGTAATATATCTCTGTTTGGATTATCCTGTTTATTATATTTTCTGTTTGTTCATTTGGGGCTGTATTTATTTATGTATTGTTGCTTAACAACTTACCCCACAGTGCTTAAAACAGCAAACATTTTATTGTCCTCCCACAGTGTTTGTGGGTCAGGAATTAACTGGGCGTCTCTGCCTGAAGGTCTCTCATAAGGCAACAATTTGGAGGTCTTATCTGAAGGCTCAAAGAGGAAGGATCCACATCCAAGTTTGCTCACATGTTTGTTAGCAAGATTCACTTCCTTATCAGTTGTGCATTGAAGCCTCAGGTCCTGTCCTCATCAGCTATTGGCCAGAGGCCTCTCTCAGTGTCTGTCTATGTGGACCTCTCCATACAGCAGCTCTTAACATGGTGTAGGCTTCCTCAGAACAAACCAGTAGGACAATAAGAGAAGGCAAGCAAGAGGGAAGCTAGAGTCTCCTTGTAAACTGATCTTGGAAGTGCCGTTCTATCACTTTTGCCATATTCTAATCCTTCGAAGTGAGTCACCCCGGTCCATCTCACACTGAAGAGAAAGGGGTTACATAGGGTATGAATACCAGAAAGAAGGAATCACTAAGGGCTGTCTTAGGTACTACTGCCAATTGCAGAGGCCTTTCTTTTGGGGGTTGGTTTTTCCAAGTCTCAAGTGATCTTTCCTTCTAAATGAAGGACCTTGTGGGTTATTATAGGTAGCTGGCCTGTGTTTACATCTGTGTCACTTATACAGACTTCCTTTTCAGGTATGTGGGCAGGCACTGGGGAGGCTGGCTAGAATTCCCCCTTGTGTAATTCCAATACCCTTCAGTGTGTACAGGTGGAACCTGCGATTTGCTATTAGCCATTAGTAAATGACAAACATGCCGAGTGGTCACCCCCTTGATTAGGTTACATTATGTGGCAAAGGAAAAGGGATTTTGCAGACGTAATTATGATCCTAAAAATCTGTTGCTTTGAGTTAATTAAATGGGATTTTCCTGGGTGGGCCTGACTTAATCAGTTGGAAGCCCTCAAGGAGAGACTGGGGTCAGAGATCTCTGGGGTCAAAGATGCTCTCCAAGCTGCATGAGTTGTATACCTTCAGGAAAATGAATTTCCCAACAATCTGAATAAATGTGGAAGTGGGTTCTTCCCTAGTCAAGCCTCCAGGTGAGAATGTACCTCAGTGTTAGGCGTGTCAGTCTCTGAGCTGAGGACCCAGCTAAACTGAGCCTGGACCCCTGATGCACAGATACTGTGAGATAAGAAACATGTGTTGTTTTGAACCAGGGAGCTTGTGGTAATTTGTTCACAATAGAAAAAGAATACATGTATTTCACTCCTGGTCCCTCTTAGTGCTGACCCTTTTCTGGTTCTCTGTCCACGGTGGATGTCTGGTGTAAAGTCAAGCTTTGTTCTCTCTGAGTCTAGCATCCTCATTTGGAGCTTTCTTTAGGACGTGGTCCTTTTCCTACAGAGAGCAGATCCTGGGCTGTGACTTGAGGGCATGTCACTACTGCCAGTTGTGCCTTTTATTTCTTTACTTTGGGAGTTGGGAAGAGGAGGAGTCTAACTTGCAGATGTTGTGAAGGCCCTTGTTTAATGAAAGACTCTAATGATCACCCCCTACTCCATTTCTTTGAATGTTTGATTCCAACTTTGGAGCTCTGGCCACCTTGGTGGGAAGCGTGCTTATGCGAGGTGTCTCCTTGTGTGGTTTCCTCTGCTCTCAATTTCCCACCACTCGGATTCTACTTGGTTTTCCTCTTCATGGAATTTCTTAAAACTTCTGGTCTGTGGATGGCATATTTTCCTGTTTTATAATGCTGTTATGGTTTCATTCTTTAAACAGAAAATAATTTTCCTAGCACTTCAGTGAGGCCTTGGAAGTGAAGGGAGACAGATGTGGGTAATGAGTCTGCATGAATTCATCCACACAATCTGGACTGGACTTTTTATAAGAGAAAAAAAAAATACTGTTTTGCTACCTAATACCAATTTGATATATTAGTAATAAATTTGTAATAAATATATTAGTAATAAATTAGTAATAAATTAGTAAAAAATGATGAAAAGGGCATAATTTTTATTATAATAGCTACTTTTCTCATGTTCTATTACTATTTTCTCCTTTTAAAGTTCCTAAAAGCGTATCTCTCTGAAGACTCTGCTCTTTTTTTTCTTCTTCTTTTTTTAACCTCCTCCCACTCACACAGCCTTCCTTTCTACTCTCTTAGGGTGATTTCTTAGAACAAGTGACTTTAAAATATTGCTGACACTATGTTTTTTTTCTAACACTAATAGCACACATGATGTAAGTGCTGAGGATGTTGAGATCATTGAACTAAAATTGTGATTTTAGGATTGTCTTAAGACTCTTTTAGTTCTAAGTAACACAAACCTATTTCAAAGTAGTTGAGGTTGCGGAGAACTTATTAGACAGAAATTTTAATATCTCACTGAACCCAAGAGTAAAAATTATATTCAATTAACATGAGCGTCAGGAACCAGAAACTAGCAAGTTGACAGGAACACAGATAGTCGTTACCTTTCTGTCTCTCTTATCTCTGTTTTCTTGAACATCTTATTTTCTTTCTCAGCAGACTCACTTTGTTTGGCATGATATGGCCAAATACGGCTACCTGACAATGGTAACCAGAGTTTCCAAGTTTATATCATATCAGTTCAAGCAAACAGATAAGAGATACAGTACCAGACTCCAAGGAGAAAGACTCTAGTTGGTTTAGCTTGGGCCAGTTACCTCTTTTTAGACCAGTGTAATGTAGTCATGAGGGCAGATTTTGTGGTAAAAACATGGCTGCTATGACCCAAGTTCTCAACGAAGAGGTAAGAGGTAAGTGAATAGAAGATTGGGCAGTATCTCAGGACATGTCTGCTGCAACATTCTTGTTTATATTCATTGTGATATTCCTTATTAGAGAAACAGTTTAGCTTGTGGTTAAGAACATGGGCTTAGGGTCGGGGCACCTAGGTGGCTCAGTTGGTTAAGCGTCCGACTTCACACAGGTCATGATCTCACAGTTCGTGAGTTCGAGCCCTGCATCGGGCTCCGTGCTGACAGCTTGGAGCCTGGAACCTGCTTCAAATTGTGTGACTCCCTCTCTCTTTGTCCTTCACCCACTCACACTGTCCCTCTCTCTTTCTCTCTCTCTCTCCCTCCAAAATAAATAAACATTAAAAAATGAAACAAAACATGGGCTTAGGGTCAAACATATGTTGATTTGATCCCACCTTGCCACTTACTAGCTGTGTGACCTCTGTGAAGATTAAAATCTTTTTGTGTACAATTGGGATGATAAAGCCTATCTCCTGGGGTTGCTGGGGGGATAAAATGAGAATATATATGGGACATCTGAGGCACTCAATAAATAGTAATTATTAATTATTACAATTATCAGATCATTTGGGAAAGATTACGTGAATGGAGAACATACCTTTTACCACCTCAAATAGTGCAACAAGATCTAGAGGCAAAATTCCAGGTGCTACAGAATTGCATAGTCAGTAAAAATCTAAGAGGGAGTTTTGGCTTCCCACACACTTGGCCAAAGAAATGGAAACAGGTGAGGCTGATGGTGTTAGGGCCCAAGAATCTACACTTATGTTTAGAATGAAATTTTGCTCCTGTTGATTTGTGAAAGAAATGTTAACGGTCTCACGATCCTAAAGAGAGCCGAGCAGGGCTGGTAGTCACCGGTATAGTCATCATAGTCCATTCCAGCCAGTGCCTGTTCTGATGGTTGCTTCATTCATTCTACTTGGGGGCGGGCCTGTTCTGATTGTCTAGACACTTAGCTAATGAAATATTTTTGAGTATCGTCCCTGGGGACCAAGTGTGTACCATCAGTTCAAGACTTCAGTTTTTTTTAAAGGAGAAGCATCTTTTTCTTTATGAAATGATAGATTTCCTTTGCACTTTTCTGACTTATATGGCAAAGTTGCTAATGGCAGCCATCATTAAATGACCTCTTAGTGAAGGATATGTAAAATGGCAATGATCCAAATTCTGTAGAGTTAAATGAACTCTTAGCTTAGTAAGGGATATGTAAAATGATTCAAATTGTATATTGTTAAATGATACCAAATGCAAGCCCGAAGTTAATATTTACATAAAGCAGAGTTAGCCATCAAACGACATTTATGGTTTCTTTCTAAAATATACTATATGCTGTTCTGTATGAAACTGCCGTAGAACAGTATCTCATTGACTAACTGTGTAATTTTCTCTTAAGTTATGCAGACATTTTGATTGAGAGAGAAGTGTTAATGCAGAAGTACATTCATCTAGTTCAGATCGTAGAGACGGAAAAAATTGCAGCTAACCAACTCCGGCATCAACTTGAAGATCAAGATACAGAAATTGAAAGACTTAAATCAGAGGTACTTCCCAGTTACTAGATTCCTCCTCATTGTTATGCATTTATTGCCATCTCCTCAAAATTACATAAGGCCTATCAGGGCAAAATTTTCATCCCAAACTTGGTTCCTTCGCCATCAGCGAGTACATGTCAGACCACTAATCTGTGTTAGAATAAATCTAGTCTATGTTAGAATTAGTTAAATACACTACATTAAAATACCAGAGTAATATGCTGCTTTTTAATTATTTTGTGCTCCTGATGTCCTTCATTTGATCAGATATTCAGAAGTTGATTATAAAATGTAACTGTTTTTAGGTTGACTATAATAGTAATGATAATTGTGAATCTGTCATAGATTAAACTCCCAAACGATAACTAAGGAAGGACCAGAAATGAAGTCAGGAAGACTTTACTGTTTCTCTATTCTAAGGAGTTCAACTTTCTTCCCCCTAGAATTTTGAAAAACACATTGGAGTTGAAGTATAAGGCATTTCCTCAAGTTGGAATTCCTGTCTCCCTCCATCTCCACCCCCACCCTCTGAGGGTGAACTTCAGAGGCCCTGCACCCCCCGATTGTGAGATTGTCCCAGTGAGAACAGAGCATGGTCATTGTATCTCCAGCCTCAGTGGTGGTCCTGGATCCACCCATGCTCACAAGTGCTTCTGTCCACATATAGAAACCCGAGTGTACCCGAGTGTTATTTACTACTCGTGGGAAGCGGTAGATAACCGAAGACCTGAAGAGGAATGTGGAAAACAAGATTTCCCCCCTCTTTCTGACTAGAGGTGCATTAGCATTTTCTTAGCTTCAAAGAGCAGATAGGACAGATGAAACCTACTACTAATTGTATCCCATTGACAGAACAATTCAGGATCCTCAGGCCTGAGTTACAAGAAATTTGTGAGTTCTAAGAGCCTCAGCCCTGAGTTACAAGGAAAGTAACTTTCTTGTTACTTTTACGGTCATTGGACAATGATTTCCTCTTTGTTTCTTTATACCTTCCTCCAAGACGCACTGAATCCTGTGAGAGGTTTTCACCTCCTTCTGCCTGTGTACATCACCTCCAGTTTCCAGAGCATGAGTATAAGCTTGATTCCACCTGGGATCTGATTGCTTCTCTGGTGATGAGTTGCAGACCATGTTCACCGTATCATTAGTGTTGTTAACTTCCCGATTCAACCCTGAAATCTCATATAGTGAAAACAACAACAGAAAACTTAGCAAACCTGCATTTTAAAAGACTATATCAGGCACTGTAATTTAAGACAAAATTATTGTGTTCTCTCTTTGCCACAGTAAGCCAGAGCAGATGCTTGTCTGCTAAGTGGCATTTACTCCACAAGAGAAACTCAGCACCAAGCAATGTTCCCCAATATTTATTTGGGCATGCTTATCTGTCTTCACTATGTTCTATTTTAGTCTGAATATAGATTTTGCAGCCCCAAACTGTCAGTAGCAGGTACGTCTTGTGTGGTCGCTTGGCAGGAGCCATAATTTATTTTCTACTCCTTTTATTTTCCTACTTCTCTGCCAGAAAATGGCAGAAGTGTGTATTTGTTACTGGTGACAAAATGTAAAGACAGGTCAGAGGAAGCAATTATGATTCTTAACTTTTCAAATGCTTGCTGGTAAGGTTGCGTAGGTTCTTACCTTTCTAAGAGCCTGCAATTGAGCAGTAGGCTAGTGATTTTTGTTGCTAAGTGTATTTGGGCAGCCATCTGGTTTTGAATTGCCCCACAGGTCACATAACTGAGTTGGAGCTATAAGGAGATCCTGGATCATTTCACTTCTTTTTACCTTTTCACCTTTCTTGGTTGTCTTGGGTCAACCCCAGGGCTCTGAAGTTCCGTTTGCAGTTACCATTTTCCCAAGGAATCCTGTGAGCCTGCTGTACTCTGTGTACCTGTGTGGAAGGCTGCAGGCTGATTATGGGAAGCAAGAGCTCTGGGCTGAATGTCATTGCATTTGGGGACCCCAGGGCATTACAGGCAGCTGCCATTGGGCAAGATTGGCAAGCAGTATGTCACTCAGCTCCCCCGAAGGCCTTGGCCTAGTCATCACTGGCAGTCAGGGCCAAATTTGGGGCTAACGTTTCTCCTAACCCAGATCCCAGTTCACACTTTCCACAGTTGCTTCTTATAAGCACCTCTGTTGGCAACATAACTGAACAGACTTGGTGTGAAGTTCATTCTTTCCTTGACTCAGAACCAGTGGAAGGAAGGATGCATAAAAAGTAAAAGTTTCCTGAGGACCTCCTAAGCTACCTTGTAGGCATTACCTCCTGTGAGTTATGGCTATAAGCTGGTATTTCCCAAGTCATGAAATGGGCCAATTTTGTGTTATAGATTATCGCTCTTAATAAAACCAAGGAACGAATGAGGCCTTACCAAAGTAATCAAGAGGATGAGGATCCAGATATCAAGAAGATTAAAAAGGTAGGATGTTGGGCGTTTCTGGCTTTGGAAAAGCATGGTGATCAGTTGTCTGTCCTGTAGTGATGTCTTTGTTCCCCTGTCCCTGAGCTGAGAATCACCTTGGTATATCTGTTCTAATGGCTCTCAGACTTGCCTTTCAGAGTGATACAGGTATGGCTACTTTGGAAAAGTTTCAGCTTGAGATTTTTTTTCCAGTTCTGGGAATCCCCTTATGGACCCTCTGTGGAAAGGATGTCAAAACCAGACATTAAGACAATAGTGTTCTTAAGTTGGGTTAGTAAGTGCTGTAGAACCTCCTGATTTTGTGCTATTTTCATATTTTAGGGGAGTATTTTTTTCATGTTTATTTAGTTTTTTGGGAGAGAGAGTACATGTGTGCAGATGCATGTGAGACAGGGAGGGGCAGAGGGAGAGGAAGAGAGAGAATCCCAAGCAGATGCCACGCTTAGCATGGAGCGTAACATGGAGCTTGATCTCAGGAGCTTGATCATGACCTGAGCTGAAATCAAGAGTGGGAGGCTTGGGGCGCCTGGGTGGCTCAGTTGGTTGAGTGTCCCTTCTTGATTTCAGATTGGGTTGTGATCTCCTGGTTTGTCAGATCGAGTCCAGCATCAGGCTCTGTGCTTGTAGCCCAGAGCCTGCTTGGGATTCTCTTTCTCCCTCTCTTTTTGCCCCTCCCCCTGCTTTTGTTATCTCTCTCTCAAGACAAACAAACAAACAAACATTAAAAAAAAAGAGTCAGATGTTTGACTGAACCACCCAGATGCCCCTAGAGGAGTAGTTTTTTTTAATTTATTTTTTTAAATATAAAATTTATTGTCAAATTGGTTTCCGTTGTCTGTATAGGGGAGTATTTTTAAGTGACATTTTAAAAATATTTCTTTTAGCTTTAGATTTCAGTGCTTATTTAGAAAGGATTTTTTTTGAACATGTGAGACTATTAATTAAATACATCTCAGATTTCTGTTTTATTATCATTATTACTTTCTTGTTTAACATCCACACGATCAACAGATCTTCTTACTAAACTGTCACTTATTCCTGTGTACAACTTAAAAAAAAATTTGTTTTAATGTTCATTTATTTTTGAGAGACAGAGAGATAGAGCATGAGCAGGGGAGGGGCAGAGAGAGAGGAAGAATCCAAAGCAGGCTCCAGGTTCTGAGCTGTCAGCACAGAGCCTGATGCGGGGCATGACCGCGAGATCATGACCTGAGCCGAAGTTGGCCGCTTAACCGACTGAGCCACCCAGGTGCCCCTGTGTACAACTTTTGCAGTTAGACAGACACTGGTACTCACTCTGGTCTACTGTATTTGATTTATGTCATTTTAGGTTTTGAGTTCTATTATCTTAATTCGCTTGTGTAAATCATCTACTTAGCTTTGTGACCATTATGTGAAAAGCTTCACAGTTATAGAACTTTTTTTATGGATATATACCTTCAAATCTATATTTCATCTTAATGTTTTTCTTATTCTTGTTGTTTATATGCTACATAATTATTCCCCTTTAATTGTAACAAAACTTGAAACATTGCTCAGAGTTTGATACAGAAATGCTTCTAAGAACTAAATTGAAGTGTTTTCAGTTTTTAAGGAATAAAAAGTGAAATATCACCATTAATTTCTTAGAATTCAAAACATTCTGAATTGAATTGAGTTTATGTTATTGTTACAAGATTAATGCTCTTGCCTTTTAGTAGTATGAAGTTGTCTATAAACAAAGAGATGAGTGAAGTACAGTTTTCAGGATTTTTTTTTTTTTTTTTGGTAGAAACTGGTCTGTTAGTATGAAAAGTACACCAGCTCAGCAGGCAACACCTGACTAAGTAAACAGAAAGATTGTGTTTAACACAAAATTTGATTAAGGTGATTTTTGAAAATATTTCTGTTAAATGGAAGAATAGTGATAAAATAAATGCTTTTTACACTTTATACCTTCCTGTTTCTCAGTAGAAGCAATTAAAAAATATATTTTTGAACTTGTTAAGTAGGCTTTGAAATTAATTCTATTGTGCTTTATAGCCCAGTCATTCTAATGTCTGTGTGGCAAAAAGTGTTTTAAATGAATTAGTTTCTCTATTCTGATTTGGCAAATATCAACATAATTTTTTATCTTCAAGGAACCAAAAATTGAACTTTATTATATGACAAAGAAGTTTTCCATTAGATTTCTCCAGATAATGTGCATATAAATTCCCCCACATAATTCTATTAAAATGTGGCTAATTTTTATTGTTTGAAGCATCACAGCTGTGTGAATGCCTGCATTAACACTGATAGTATGATGACAACATTGGTAGGTAAATGAAAGAATTTTAAACATTGCAACAGAAGAGCAGTTGTTTAAATACATGACAGTTTAGTCCATATGGGTGAAATAGTAGGGAAACAATAAGGAGTGTAAGAATATGTTGACTAGATAACAATAATACCAAAAAGAGATTTGGTAGTCATTTAATGCTGTCAATCATATATGGATTTGTAACCTGCTTTGTGGCTGAATCTGCCACTTAGCTATGACACACCCTAATAAATAATCATATAACTGTTTTATATTTAGCAAGCACTTCAGATTTTTTTGGTCCATTATTTTGTAGGTGAGAAAATAGAGGACTGGAGTTCAAAGTTACCCAGCAGGTTAGTGCTCAGCCTTGGGGTTAAGGATTATGACATGCACCTTTCTGGCTAGCCCCCAGCATTTACCTGGACACTTGAAAGATGTTTAGTAAATATTTGTTGGCTAAAACGTACAGGTTTGTCTGTTATTTTTCAAATCATACCTAGGGAATTCAGATCAATTTTAGAGGCTATCATGTTGTCTACAGAATCGATTTTTAATTATATTTCATGTTTCTTTTCACAAAATAATCTCCATTGCAAATCATTCACATGTGTTTTCACCGTGTGGCTGAGAGAGAATCCTTAGACTTAACAAAAAGCAGGTTAAAGAATGCCAACTCTGATTGCATCTTTCCTGTGTGACTTACCATGAAATTTCGTTTACTCATCTATAAACAGAAGGGGTCAGATGAGCTGATGTCTAACACTTATTTTTTTTTAAGCTTCGTGAAAAAACCCTCAATAACAACAAATCAAATAACCTGATTTAAAAATGGGCAACGGACATTTCTCCAAAGATGAAATAATATACATGTGATCTTTGGAGAAGTCATATACATATGAAAAGCTGCTCAATATCACTAAACATCAGAGAAATAGAAATCAAAACCACAGTGTAACGTCACCACACACCCATTAGGATGACTACTATAAAAACAATAAACTAAGTGTCGATAAGGATGTTGAGAAATTGGAACCCTTGTGCACTGTTGGTAGATTGTGAAGTGGTTCAACTGCTGTGGAAAGCGGTACGGTCATTCCTCAAAAAATTAAAAATAGAGCTACCACATGATCCAGCATTTCCACTTCTGGGTATAGATCCAAAATAATTGAAAATAGGATCTGGAAGAGACATTTGCACTCCCATGATCACTGCAGCATTATTCACAATTGCTGAGAGTTGGAAGCAACTCTAATATCTATCAGCAGATGAATGGATACACAAAATATACATACAATGGAATATTATTCAGCCGTAAGCAGGGAGGAAATCCTAGCACATGGTACAACATGGATGAACCTTGAGGACAGTATACTAAGTGAAATTAACCAGTCACAAAAAGGTAGATACTGTGTGATTCTACTTACATGAGCTATCTAAAGTGGTTAAATTCACAGCAACAGAAAGTAAAATAGTGGGTAGCAGGGGCTGAGGGAAGGGAGAAGTGGGGAGTTGTTCAGTAGGTATAGAGTATCAGTTTTGCAAGATGAAGTTCTGGAAATCTGTTGTGCAACAATGTGAAATATTTAACACTACTGAACTAACTATACATTTAAAAATGGTTAAGATGGTAAATTTTATGTTATGTGCTTTTTTAACACAATTAAAAATTTTTAGTATCTGATTTTATATTGTTAAAGAGTAAACCTTCAATGTATTTCTTTATTAACATGTTAATAACGAATTATGTAATATTATCACATTCTGGTGTCCATATTGGCAGTCTTAAAGAGCTTAAGATATGGAAGAAACTTGTGACACTGAGAAAAATGTTATTTTTAAATCCTATTTTTTCTGCTATCTGGAAAAGCCTGCCACAATTTATTCTAGTGATGGGACCATTAGCGCTGTAACAAAAAAGCAGTGTTTTATATGGCGTGGAATGAAAACCCTTACTGATAGGCTCATTCAAAGACAGCCTCACACCTCCCTGAGATTCTTTCTGTTGTTGTTCTGTAGGTTCAGAGCTTCATGAGAGGATGGTTGTGTAGAAGGAAATGGAAGACCATTGTGCAGGATTACATTTGTTCTCCTCATGCTGAAAGCATGAGGAAGAGAAACCAGATTGTGTTCACCATGGTTGAAGCTGAGTCGGAGTATGTTCACCAGCTCTACATCCTGGTCAATGGCTTCCTCCGGCCCCTGCGAATGGCAGCCAGCTCCAAGAAGCCTCCCATCAGCCATGATGATGTCAGCAGCATTTTTCTCAACAGGTTTGTCTTGGCGTAAATCAAAGAGTCATGTGAAAAACCCATTTCTATTTCTTAAAAGAATTTTTACTTTACTCTTAAAAGAATAGGAATCATAAGTTCACCTTTATGAGCTTATGATATTAAAAATAAGAAAGCTATCATTTTTGTTTCATTATTTGTGTGAGTTTACATGTCTTTATCTTGAATCATGGCATTTAGTTTTCTGGGTCTTTTCTTTGTGTGACATATGTTTTCTTGTCATTGTGTAGGCGTGTGTGTGTTGGGAAAGATAATCTTCATAAGCTGAGGGAGATGGAGTGAGTAATGGGTCTTTACATGTGATTTATACGGACATACTTTAGGAAGAAGAAAAACTAACAGGGGGCCTGAGAATCTCTAGCAAATTTATTTGCTCAATAAATATTTATAGTGTCCTTCCTGCTGAGTGTTCATCAGTGAACAAAGCAGAAACCCTTGCCTTCATGTAACTTAAATTTTGATGTGGGAAGACAATGAATAGTAAATAAGTGAAATGTGTAGTATATTATATGGTGATGAGCACTATGGAAAAAATAAACAAGGGAAGAGGAGAAGGGGAGAAAGGGAGTGCCTGGGTGCTTTACTTAAAAATTATTTATTTATTTTTTAATTCATCTATTTACTTACTTATTTATTTTGAATACATTTATTTGTTTTTGAAGAAATTTACATGGTTCAAAAGTAAAAACAACATGAAAACATCAAAAGCTGTCAAGTAATATCAAATATTACAAAGTCATAGAAAGGGATGACTTTGTGTCATCGGAGGGAGTGTGGATGGCCCTGGAACCTGTCGCGCTTCTTGAAACACGTTAGACTAAGAAAAACAAATACACATATGATTCCAGTCATTAGTGGGATCTAAAAATAAATAAATAAACAAAAAGCAGGATCGGACCCATAAATACAGAGAATAAACTGTTGGTTGCCACATGAGGGTTGAGGAGTTGGGTAAGATGGGTGAAGGGGAGAGAGGGAGATACAGGCCTCCAGTTACGGGATGAAGAAGTCATGGGAATAAAAGGCAGAGCATAAGGAATACAGTCACTGGTATTGTAATAATGATGTAATGGGACATACTGTAGTTATACTTGTGGTGAGCATAGTATAAGGTATAAACTTGTCAGATCACTAAGTTGTACACCTGAAGGTAATGTAATACTATGTATCAACTCTAGTCAAACAAATTTGTTTTTAAAAGAAAAAGAACAAAAAGTTACTGCAATATATTTTAATTTGGCTTTTTAAAGATTTAGGCTTTTTATGCATTTATTTTTTTTACTTTGTTTTATTTTATTTTATTTTATTTTATTTTATTTTATTTTATTTTATTTTATTATTGAAGTTTAGTTGACATACAGTGCTATATTAGTTTCAGATGTGCAGTGTAATGATTCAATAATTCTGTACATCACTCAGTGCTCAACACAAGAAGTGTGCTCTTAATCTCCTTTATTTTGTCCATCTCCCAGCCTGCATTTAAGGACATTTTAAGGACAAAGGATGTTTAAGGACAAAATTACTGTGTAATTTTCTCTAAAGTTATGCAGACATTTTCACTGCTTATACAATTCTTTGGAAGAGCTGGAAGAGCAAAGCCAGGGAACTGCTCCCCTGGAGCTTTGAGTTCAAGAGCACAGCACTGTAGATGTGATTCAGAAGTTAGGGAACTACAGCCACTGTCATTGCCACCATATCTGCCTCTCAGGTCTAGGAAGCTGTTGCCTAGAAACTAGAACACCGAAGCTGGGTGCTGAAATTGCCCCTGAAACACTCACATCTTCATGACTGATTTTCAGCAATAGGAAGATGGCCTCTCCTACTTTTCATGTCTTACCAGGTGCACCTATTGGTGCAACTGGTGGAACTGAATTTACATTCGGAGCCTCATTTGCAAGGCAGTCTGGGAAGTTTAGCTGTAGCTCTCCATCATGTCCACCTAAAAGGAGAATAGAAAGGAGGTTGAAAGACTAACATACAGTATCTACCAAACTAAGGGTGCCTGGTGGCTCAGTCGGTTGAGCGTCAGACTTTGGCTCAGGTCATGATCTCACAGTTTGTGGGCTCGAGTCTCTTGTCAGGCTCTGTGCTGACAGCTCAGAGCTGGAGCCTGCTTCAGATTCTGTGTTTCCCTCTCTGTCTGCCCTTACTCCACTAGTGTTCCATCTCTTTCTGTTTCTCAAAAATAAATAAAAATGTTAAAAAATAAAAAAAATACAAAAAAAACCCCAATATCTGCCAAACTAGATTTGGTTGAAATCCTTGAACAACAAACACTGCTTAGTTAAAATTGCTATAAATGAAAAACAAATTATCATCTTCAAGCCATATGTATTTTGTTTCATGGACCATTTGGAAAAAGTTAAGGATTTCCCATTGATATTTATTGTAATTGAATTTGACTTACAACAAACCAGAATATCTCACTTACATGAATAATTATGTATTTGATTGTGTAGGATGTGCTAGTTAAGAAAAGGCTTTAGAGGCTCAATCCAATGAATTAATTGTAATGAGGAGAAAGCAAAAGTTACTTTGGTAACTGCTCGTCTTGAACCTTGTAGAGATTTGGATCTCTATGCATAGTTCTCCTTATAGCATCTCTGTGTAGGCTTAGTCCTTTTCAGAGGATTCTTTTACATTTCCATCTTGGGTGTCTTAGGAGCGGTTATGGTAGAGTTCTGCCAAATCTTTGCTGTGGATTCTTTTCCCCTCTTTCCTGTCAAAACTCATTTTAGTGAAAGAGGGAGTCTTTTCCCTTAGTTATCATCTAGAATCAAACTGAAGAGAAAAAGGATCATAACTAATTTTTTGATTATCAGTTGTAGTGTTAAATCCTAACAGTAGAAAGATGTTGCTATCAAACATAATGAAGAGGGTTATATGCCAATGATTTGGTGTTTACTGTCTTCCAGTAGTTGAAGCCTAGCTCAGAATTTTCGAGATCGTTTGAAAGACAAATTGGTTTATGAGGGCTAGTATAATCCATGTTATTATTGTGTATACAATTTGGAGGCCCTGGGAGGCATGCAAATCATGTATTTATTAAGGCTTTAAGGACTCAGTGGACTTCTTTGACAAAGAAGTGACTAGATTATATTATTTTTCAATTTTTTATAGTGAAACAATTATGTTTCTTCATGAAATATTTCATCAAGGACTGAAGGCAAGGATAGCAAACTGGCCTACCTTAATTTTAGGTAAGTGCATGCTTTAGAGATAAAAGATTTTCTCTTAATATGTCTACAATTAAAGCAAAATAACTTCAACATTAGTCAGCCTAACCTGTCTGAATTTCCCTCTTGACCTGAGAGCTTCCTTAGGCACTGGGAATCTGTTTTATTGCCCTCTCAGCCCTTTCTCCTGGCCTGTCATTGTTCATTTGGGGCTAGAGTTGGGCTCTGTGCGCCCCCTCCCCCTGCCCCCGTGCATTCTACCAAATCAGTCATTCAAGCATCTGGAAGGGGGCCCTGTGCACGTGTGACACATGATGCTGGGAGCCACTCTGTGCCATTTCCAATGAGTGAACACAGCCTCTCCTTGTACCTTAGATAACTTACCAAGGACCAAGAAAAACTGCCATGTTTACTTCTTTTTTCCAGCTGATCTGTTTGATATTTTGCTCCCCATGTTGAACATTTATCAAGAATTTGTGCGTAATCACCAGTACAGCCTCCAAGTGCTTGCCAATTGTAAGCAAAACCGAGATTTCGACAAACTCTTAAAACAGTACGAAGCCAACCCCGCGTGTGAGGGGAGGATGCTGGAAACATTCTTGACCTATCCAATGTTCCAGGTAAGTCATCTGGGATGCATTTTATAAGTCATCGGTTCCAGTTTGGTGGTACTGAAACATAGGGTGACCAGAGTGACAAGTTTAAGTATGCCCCATGTGGAATTATGGCAAATGTGCAACTGTCCTGAGCTTGACCCTGAGAGAAACAAATTTATGCCACACATTTTCCCTCTGTGTAGCATATGGGAGAAAAGCAGGCATTTTTTTTTTTAAACCAGTCATTTTTGAAGCAATTAAATCAGGAATGGTTTTTGAAAAGTAGCACAGTTTTCTCTTTACAGAAAGATTCCACACAGACTTCTTCCATGGAGTCTCCTCCTCCAGCATGTTTAAAAATATTATCAGGTTTACAGAAATAGGATGCTGTGCAAACGTTCCAGTATATGCTGGTGGCATAAAAGGCTCCTGAGGGGTAGAGTGACTGCTGGGAAAGTCTTTGTTTTCCTTCCCATCCTCCCCTCCCTGTTACAATTGCTGTTGAGGTTGGTCTTGAGTTTGTCTGGAGCTCCGGATACCAAAAGGAGGACATCCTGGGTCACAGAGGCTATGAAAATATAGGGTCTGGAGACACTGGCTGGACCTGGGGATTCTTGGCCCCTAGTCAGGTTGCTGAATTGAGGCTGGGGCTTGTCATGACATTTACTTTTGGGTGTTAGAGCACCCGGAGGGATCAAGCATACTTGTGTTCTTACCTGTACCTAGAGCTTTACCGTTAAGAGTCCTTGAGTGAGAACAGAGGAGGCCCAAATGTGAATTGAATCTCCTGTTCCTTTGAAAAGTGTCAATTCTGCTCTTTTGGAAAGGCATTGAGTGTTCTTATTGTGGAATTTATGGGGCTTCTGGCCAGGCCTCCAGATTGTCATGTGGTAAACCGATTCTCCTAATCATGTGTGTTTGGGCTTCTGCAGAGAGTTTTGCCCCCCTGCACAGGCATTGCTGACCCTGGCTGACCATTTTGTAGCCTGAGAAAGAAATGTTGCTCTGGTTCATAATTGTTTGTCCTAAAGTTTGTCAATCCTTTTTGAAATCATGGAAGTCACCACAGAGGTTTAGCAAGATTTTTTAAAAACCAAAAGGATGTATTTGAAACAACTTAAATATAGTGAAACTTTATAATGGTATTGTGTTTTTTTTCATGGAACTGAATTGTTTGAACTTTTTGCCTCTCTGAAGAAATATTTTCCAAGAAAAACTTCAAAACAAAAACAAAAAGTTGCTTTTTTTAACCTTATAAAAATTATAATTTAAGCTTTTATTTATAGTGAAACAAGTTTTATATAATGCAGTGTTCTGAGATTCTGTTTGTGTCTTTGGCAGTTACCTCCAGATTATGATTACAATCCCTAAACTGTGTCTTTTCAGCAACTCGATTTCAGGTGAATATTCAAAGAAATGGTTGTGAAAGACACATGGAACATTCTGGGAGGCACCTAGCTCCCTTTCTGACAGTGCACTAATGCCTTCCCACGGGCTATTTAATTTTCCTTTGGTGTCATTTTCTCAGGGTTTTAAAGCAACAGACAGAACCGCACTTGATCTGTAGGGGAGGTGTCCAAACACAGTCGAATGGAGGGCCTTGGAAAGCCCTTTGGATTTCTTGAAAATGCTGAGATGCACTTCTGTCACCCTCTCTCCTTTTCCCTGGAGTTTAAGCCCAATAAGAATGGCTTGGCATTTTGATTGACCCCAAGGAATTCCTACAATGTGAGGAAAGGACCATCGGACTACGAATCTTGAGGAGACCTGGATGTCTTGCTCACTCTTCAGTCATAGCATTGAGGAAAATAATTGAACCAATCTAAATCTCTGTTTCTTACTCTTAAAATTGAGGACCTGATTTCCAGTTGTCTCCCAGAGCTCTAGCTATCTGGCTGTGATCCTGGGGGGATCACACGATGGTGGTGCAAGGAGCCTGGTGTTTGTCTAGGAACCCGCATCCTGAGACTGTGGTGGCCCGAAACCCTACAATTTAGCTGAAGGGTCAAATGTTGAGGTCTCTGGCTTCTTCCAGACCAGGGTAACCAAAGGTCTCAGCTTAGGAGAGCTATTTTTCTAGGAGAAGCCTCAAAGTTGAAGAATTTAGCCAGAATTGGTCCAAACTGCAAGATGTGTAAACTGAAAGAACAGCTCTTAATCTATTTGCTGCCCTATCACTATTCTGGATAGATCAAGAGAGGAAGCTATCAGAGTGTGCTACCTAAGAGCCTCATTCTCCTTGGTGCCTCTTCTTTGTCTTGTTTGCTTGGTGTCTCTTCCTTCTGCCTTCTCCCTAGGAGTGACCCTGTGGACCACTGAGGGGGAAATTGCACTTTCTAGAAGCTTGGAGGTTTTCTCTTACTGGGTTCATTCTATCCCTCTTGTTCCCTCTTGGTTCTTTCACAAATGAGGTGAAATAGTCATGAAAACATTTGCTTCCTTGGAGGGTCTAGCTGTTTCTACTTCCCTTGGCATGCTAGTTCATGATACCAAGGGACCTCTGACCAGACTTTTTCTTGAGTCTAGATATGGGGGCAGGGGTTAGGCACAGAGGAGGAGAGGTGATTCGAGCTTTTAGCCTGTGTATGTGTAGACCTTTTACTGGGCTCTTTGTCAAGTAAGTCATTTGCTGCTGTTGATATTCTATGTTGAGCTATGGAAACATAGAGGAATTGTTGAATTTGGATGATGCAGTTAATTTATCCTCAATTTAACCATCAGACAAGTAGTCCAAGTGTTGCCAAGAAATTTGTTATGGAAAATAATGTAGTCATTAATGTAATTTTTAATTAGCAAAGGCAGTGGCTCGACTGGTACTGTTTAAATTGGCTTCAGCTGCTCATAAGTCCATAGGTAAGCCAATCATGAAATCTGCCCCTGACAAGAACAGTGCTGTTAGATGTTCTCCAGAAAGTAGCCTTTTGCGGCTCTAGCCACCTATTTACTGTAATTGGCAAGCAGGCTAATTAATGTCTATAAAGTGACAAGTATTGTTCCATAGTTGAGAAGAGCATTATGATTCATCTAGACAGTACTTACTGTGATTCTTGGGTTTGGGGGGAACAGATTTATAATCAGCTCTTGAATATACACACGAGCTCTTTGGAGAGCCATCCACTTCTCTGCAGAATGTCCTTTCCCTGCTTTTTGGCAGCTTCAGGCTTGTTTGTTCCTATACCAGAAAGTAGAAAGGACCGGCTTCTGAATTTCAGATCTATCTACTTGAACCTTAGCCAAGGAACTCTCTAAAATAGATTTAATTAATGGGGGAGAATCCTGAAGCTATTGACTAAACTTAGTTTTGTGGGTTTTCAGTGCATGCATTATAAGCGTCAGGCTCTCCCACTCCTACCTTCTTTGTTATGAAAAATTTAGTACATTAGCTGTTGATTGCCTTGATTTTCTTATAGAACTACTGACTTAGAGGCAAACTGTTATCCATCTTGGCACTGTGCAGAAGGGATATTTGAAAGTGTATGTATCCCAAGAGCCTTTACCAGGAGAAGTTTATGGAATGGAGAGGCAGAAAGTGCCCTCCATGTGTCTTACAGGGGAGGGGTCTCCCTCCTATCAGGAGTCTGTCTGAACTTCCAAAACCTTAATATGATGACATTCCTTAGGACCTGATCCCAGAATATCAGCTGCAGAGCCGTGTGTGTGCTGTGGCACTGCCCTTTGTGCTCATGCCTAAACATGGGCCCTCAGTACACATCAGTAAGTAACCGGTGAAGGCCACCACCTGCACAAGAGCAACAGCAGATCCGTGGGCAGAGCTGCCAGCACCTCAGGACTGGACGGAAGGAACTAGCCATAGTACCCTGGGAGGCTGTTTCACTTTCTTCATTCTTAGAAGGGCTTTCAAGGGCCTAGTGAGACCTCAGGCCCCAGAGAAGAGACCCCGTGGGTTCCTGCATTGGTCAGAGCCACCATGATCATGGCTGGCTCCGTCATTTGCTGTGACACCACCTTGGGCAAGTTACCAGACCTCTTCACACTTTGTTTCCTTATCTGTGTAAAATGGGCAAATTCCCCTTTTGTTGCTGGAGGTTTAGGTGTACGTGCAAACCTTGAGCTCCAATCTGACCCATAGCAGGTGGGGTTATGGTGCCTGTTCATGTGTGTTGGTATTATAATTAAGCCCACTGCCCCAGCTTTCTAAAAGATTTTAGTTTGTAAGCCAGTAAAAAACAAATATGTAGAGGGGTACCTAGGTGGCTGAGTCAGTTAGGCATATGACTTCGGCTCAGGTCATGATCTCATGGTTCGTGGGTTCGAGCCCCACTTCGGGCTCTGTGCTGACAGCTCAGCCTGCTTTGGGTTCTGGACAGCTGACAGCTGGAGCCTGCTTCAGATTCTGTGTTTCCCCTGTCTCTCTACCCTTCCCCCACTCGTGCTCTGTCTCTCTCATGATCTCAAAAATAAATAAAAATTAAAATAAATAAATATGTAGAATCACTATAACTTTAATTAAAACTCTACTATGTTATATTAACATCTTCATAGGCCTGGTGGAGTTTCTGCCTTTGACAGAATTCAGATAGTTTATCTATAAGCAAAACTACAAGTACATAATCTAATTAAACAATACTTTTTACTGCTAGAGGAATGAATTAAGGTAAAGTAGGATGAGAATGTAATAAAGGTGAACATATCTTCTTCTCCCAAGTTTTAATTCTTAAACAGAATATTGCAGTAGGATTCAGAATTTAAAAAAAAAAATGTGAACAAATATACCTAAAATACAGATTCTTGTGATTTGATTATAGCTGTATGTTTCCCCATGAACCAATTTTCAAAATTTGTGATTAAGAAATATATGATTATATTAAAAAACCTAAAGAAACAATTGTTTCTCTGGAACATAATATTTTGTTACTCTTTTTTTGTACTCTTGGTGAAGTGTGTGTGTGTGTGTGTGTGTGTGTGTGTGTGTGTGTGGTTTGAAGTATACTTTGTTTCAAAACTGTAAAGGGAGAGATGAGTTTCTCAGACATGATGATGGCACAGTAGAGAGTGTCCCAGTGTTGTTCATCCTGACCTCTTGCTCATGCTGGCCTTTGCATTTAGATCCCCAGGTATATCATCACACTTCACGAACTCCTAGCTCATACACCCCATGAGCATGTGGAAAGGAAAAGTCTGGAGTTTGCTAAGTCAAAATTAGAGGAACTGTCCAGGTATGTGGAGAACTCATAATAAAGGCTTGATTAGAGAAAGCAGCAAGTTAGTCTCTGTGGAAACCTAATATATATGTCCAGGCAACAAGAAGCAAGACACAGACCAGCTTCTCAGATTCACCTGAATATTAAATGCTAGCTCTTCAGATGGTACTGAATCAGAATACATGTTAATTTTAACCAAGAAAAATATATATTGTTGAAAATGTTTTTATAGCATGTGAATTTATATAATTGAGATTATAGCTGTATTTGGGTTTATGTTTCTTTCAGGATAATAGGAAAACGACCTTTATTGGAATCCTTGTGTTCATATTTGGCAAGAAGCTAGAGAATGTATATTTTGCATTTTTCAGTGACTTTTCAGTGTTTCAAGGAATTATTTACATCTGTGTTCCTTTAGCTTATATGCAATAAATGGTATAAAGTCCTCTAATTTGCTCTACCTCTAACAAATGGCATCCTAATTTCAATGAAGGTTGCTGTTCATAAAATAATACTTTGCTTTCCTGTTGCATTCCCCAGGGTATTCATTGGTTTGTGACCCACTTGTCATTTAGAATCATGTACACTGGCTTTGGTTTGGGTCATGGCTTGTTGAGGCCTGGAAGTCTGCTCTCCCCACAGTCTCTTTTATACTGATGCAAGTCAAAACTGAACTTCCCAGAGGGAACTCTTCTTTGCATACCTGCTAGGGCTACAGAAAATATCTCTTACTGTGATCTGTGCTGTGTCTATAGGATAATGCATGATGAAGTGAGTGACACTGAAAACATAAGGAAGAACCTTGCCATAGAAAGAATGATCGTAGAGGGTTGTGATATTTTGCTGGACACCAGCCAAACTTTTATCCGCCAAGGTAAGTCCTTGTTTGGTAGACCCACTGTCTTAGTCATCTCTGCGACTTATGCATTATCATTGCCAGATCCCGGAAACCATTTTGGAGCAGGTTTGATGTAGCTGTGTGATTGATACTGTTCATGCAGGACACCTCTGTGGCCTTGACCGAGGCTGTGGTTGAGGCCCACCTTTGTGCTGTTTCTTTTCAGGGGCCATGAAAAACAGCAACACAATAATAGTAAAGCACGAGTGGGACAGTAAGTTACATTCTGACTGGACTCTCCTCCTCAGTGGACCAGACATTCTCTACAGCTCCAAGGAGGACAGATCGGTCTGGCCGATGAGAGTGGCAGTGCCAGGTGGCGACGATATACAGGCAAAGGCCCAAGAGAAACTTGCATTGCTCAAAGCCCTTTCACATAGTGGTGGGGACAATGTCCGAAGTGAAAACAGCTGTCTCTTGTTCCCATTCTTCATCAGCACTTCTGGATCAGCCCCCCATGATATGATTTGATTCAGTTGGCAACTCCAGTTGCCAAACGAAATGTCTGTTGACCCCTGACACGCTTTGGTAATGGTGCATGTATCTTGTTTGTGGGATGTGTGCTTTCCGAGCATCACCCAGTATTTTAAGCTTTTGAAGTGTTGAAGATATTTGTGCCAGAAACTTTGGAGAAGCAACAGCCTAACAGTGTCCCTCCCTCCAGGGCCCTCATTGCAGAGTGCAAGGAGTAAACCTCATCCAGAGTTCTTTTTTTAAGTGCTTAAGTGTTCTGAGGGAAGGGACCATGCCCCATGGAATTGATTTGAGACAATGCATTGCACACATTTATGATTTTGAACTTGGTGAGCAGTGACACATAGATTTTGGAACTAGGATTAACCTTTAATGTAGTTTTTGTTCAGAATGTGCCAATAACATTTGAAGATATTTGCATTTCCGTTGCCTGCCAAAATGTGCTGCTTAAAATTTTTTTTTTACCTCATCAAATAAGACGTTACTTGTGCTGTGCACATAAATTTTTGCACAGAATACTTAAAAAAGTTTAACATGTGCTGTTCTATTTTCCATTATTTATTTATAAAGAGAAAGTACACATATGTTAAAGTTTGGAAGTTTATTTTAGGAAATGATAACTTTTCTCAGTTTTTGGCTTCTGATACTAATTTTCCTTTAAATATAGTGGAATACAATGCTAACAACATCAGGCCTGCCTAATTCCCCCTGTATTCCTCCGCAGAGACTGTGTTCCCATATTGGCTTTCTGCCTTCCTGGCACTTGCCTGCCTGTGTGCCTTCATGTGTGCTTTCCCCAGCCTGGGCCTGGGAATGCCCTTTTCCATCCCTTCTGTGCCTATCGAAGGTCTGCTTGGCCTTCCAGGCTCAGGTCAGACACCTCTAGAGAGCCTTTTACAATGTTCCCTCATCTTTCTCTCCCCTTCCCTCCAGTTAGAATGGATTTACCTTCCTCCTGGTTTCGTGCCCCTTGCTCCCGATGCATGTATTTCGTCCTCTTGTGTATTGTAGGTACATGTTTGCACGCCTGTCTCTGCCAGTAATTGTAACTCTGAAGGGCAGTGTTTACGAATTCTCTCCTGCCTTATCTGTTGTTTTCCATTATAGATACCTGAAAGATGGGCATTGGATTAAATTGAATTACTTGTTGAATTGCAGTTTTGATTGTTAGATGTCTTATTTTGTATTTTTCTTGCATTTGGAATTCACTGAAAAAATACTAATTGACTGGAGCTTTATAATATGCGAGAATGCAAATAAACGTTTCTGTAACTAGTATTCTATTTCTGAAAGGGCTTTTGATTGAAAAGTATGATACATCGTAATTTATTTCTATAAACTGAGACTGCTCTTATCTAAGTTTGAAAAAACATCTATAATGAAAAGCGCTAGAA